CCTTCATGACTCGGGGACTTCAACTCCCAGAATTCCTGAGCCAGCATGGGGGAACTATGCCCCCCCTCATGACTCGTGGACTTCAACTCCCAGAATTCCTGAGCCAGCATAGGGGAACTATGCCCCCCCTCATGACTCGTGGACTTCAACTCCCAGAATTCCTCAGCCAGCGTGGGGGAATTATGGCCCCTTCATGACTGGTGGACTTCAACTCCCAGAATTCCTGAGCCAGCCACGCTGAGGAGAAATGGAGAAGTTTCCAAGCTGAGCCATGCTGGCTGAGGAATTCTGGGAGTTGAAGTCCATGAGTCATAAAAGAGCCAAGGTTGCCTACCCCTGGACTAGCTGTACATGTTTCTCTCTCCAAGTCTTTGCTTTGTTGGGTGTCGTACCTGCAGACTCTTTCACTTCCCCTCCCAACAACAGGCACCAAAAGATCAAGCATGCAGGATGGGAAGATGGATCCTGCTCAACAACCTTACGATTTCCACTTGTATGTGTTATTTCAGAAGCCCGAAGTCAGCTATGGGCATGGGGTCTCCAACCCTATCACCACTGATCTCCTGGTTCCCCAAGATCCCTTGCCAAACCTGGAGGAAATCTGGTTGCAGGTATCCACCTGGCGTTGATGTTGCCTGCAGAAGCTGGTGGAGCTAGAATTGTCCCTTCTTACCTCCTGAAGCAGCGTAGAAGTCTTGAGGATAACGATTCGGTTCTGGCATCCACACCAGAGCTTCCCGCCCACGGCCACCATCTTGGTTACGGGGCTGCCCGGAGAGCCCAACAAGAGAGATTTAGAGTTGTGAGAATCCCAAAAGCGTCCTGGAAGAGAGAAAAGAGATAGGCAAGCTGCGTTTTGCTTCTTCGTGGAAGACGCCTCGCTATTTGGGTGACGTGGTCGTAGGAGGAGGAGAGGGTGAACCTGGAGGTGGAGTCAAAAGAGGGATCAGCCTGGCATCCCTACGTAGCCACAAAGGAGCTACTATGTTCAACTTCCCTTGAATACAGTCAGCTAACTCCTAGCAGGTGTAACCTTGAGTTGAAAAGATTCCTTGTGCGTAGGCCTTATAGCAATCAATCAGTTTACAGGTAGTCCTTGACTTACGCCCATCATTTAGTGACGGTTCGAAGTTACAACGGCACTGAACAAAGTGACTTATGACTGTCTTTCACACTTCCGACTTGCCGTATTGCCACGGTCACGTCACCCTTTTGTGGTACAAGCTATTGTGGAAGTTTACACAACGGCACTCCTATAAGAGCCTAAGGGTATTGTGTGAACGCCGCCACAATCTTTTCTCGCCCCCCCCTCCCCCAAATGTTTCGGGGTTATTTAGGACGTCGGCCACAATCTTGAGTTATACCTAGTCCTCGGTTTACAACCGAGCCCAAAATTTCTTCCGTTAAGCGAGACAGTTGTTAGATGTGTTTCGCCCCGTTTTACAACCGGTCTCGCCACTGTCGTTAAGTGAATTGCGGCAGTTTAGCTAGTAACGCGGTCATTAAGCGAATCTGGCTTAACTTTGCTTGTCAGGCGGTTGCTAAAGGGGAGACGCTAGTGACCGTCATAAATACGAGTCAGATGCCGAGTGTCTGAATTTCGATCACGTGACCCAGGGGATGGTTGGAAAAGTGAAAAATAAGTCATTTTTCCCCCCAATGCCGTTGTAACTTTGAAAGGTCACTAAACGAATGATGGGAGGGTCACTAATCGAGGCGTTATCCGTCCAAAAAACCAGCAAGAGGGTCTCACATGGGAAAGTAATTCTGCCATCACGCTACTCAGTTCCACCCTTTGCTTCAGATAGTAATAGTAATAATAATAAAGTTGGAAGGGACCTTGGAGGTCATCTAGTCCAACCCCCTGCTCAGGCAGGAAACCCTATACCATTTCAGACAAATGGCTGTCTGAAATGGGAATAGGATTCACACACGTGCTTCCAATTTTGCAAGATCCCCTCTCTCCATCTGGTGTCCCCCCCCCAGGGTTGTGGGACTACCAGCCCCAACTTTCTCAACCCATCCAGAACAGGAAAGCAGAAGTAGCCAGGGCTTTGCTGGGTGGGGGTGATGGGAGGTGTAGTTCTGCAGGGGTGGGAGAAATAGGAGAAAATTATCCTTGGCCACGTTCGGAGCCAAAGCAACGGAGAAGGCCGGATGTCCTTAAGTGGCAGGTATTTATGTTCAGGCTTTTTACCTGCCTCCCTCTGATAGGCGACCAGCTCTCCGTTGGCCAGGGACACGAACACCTGGTTATCAAGATACCTGTAGAAGGATAACAATGGTTTTATCAAATCTATATGCTTCCCAACTTCCCAATAACGCAGGACAGTTCTATGCTATCCCACATTTTTCCCCTCTCTAAAATAAATTACAATAATATTGAGGGGTGTGGAAAGGAACCACACAAGCTATTTTCCAAGGCCCCTGAAGGCAGGACAAGAAGCAACGGATGGAAACTGATCAAGGAGAGAAGCATCCTAGAACTAAGGAGAAATTTTCTGACAGTTAGAACAATTAACCAGTGGAACCACCTGCCTCCAGAAGTGGTGAATGCTCCAACACTTGAAGTTTTTAAGAAGAGACTGGACAGCCATTTGTCCGAAATGGTATAGGGTTTCCTGCCTGAGCAGGGGGTTGGACTAGATGACCTCCAAGGTCCCTTCCAACTTTACTATTATTATTATTATTACTTTACGTCAGATAAATCTGGGCTGCTCGGAAATCCACTCACACATAAAGAGGGAGTCAAAGCTATTTTCCAAAGCACCTGACGGCAGAACAAGAAGCAACGGATGGAAACTAACCAAGGAGAGAAGCAACCTGGAACTAAGGAGAAACTTCCTGATAGTGAGAAGAACAATTAACCAGTGGAACCACCTGCCTCCAGAAGCGGTGAATGCTCCAACACTGGAAGTGTTTAAGAAGAAACTGGACAGCCATTTGTCCGAAAATGGTATAGGGTTTCCTGCCTGAGCAGGGGGTTGGACTAGATGACCTCCAAGGTCCCTTCCAACTTTATTATTATTATTATTATTATTATTATTATTATTATTATTATTATTATTATTATTATTATTGTTGTTGTTGTTGTTGTTGTTGTTATTATTATTATTATTACTATTACTATTATTATATGATGGTGGCCAGAACAGCAGTAAAAAAATAATTCATCTCAATTGAATCCTAAGCCTGGAGTGTGTTATCCCAAATACTTTCTTAAATGCTTTTTATTCGCTGATCGGCTCTGATCCAGTCCCACAACTGAAATTGCAAAGGCTTAGAAAAAAATAAATAAATCATAGTCTCCTAGGGTTGGGATCTCGGAGGTCACAGTAGCATAGACTTCTGGGGTGGGTAGTTGACCTCGGAGGTCAGAGTATCATAGACTCCTGGGGCAGGAAGGAACCCTTGGAGGTCAAAATCATAGACTCTTAGGGTGGGAAAGGACCTTAGGAGTCACAGAAGCATAGTCTCCTAGGGTTGGGACCTCGGAGGTCACAGTAGCATAGACTTCTGGGGTGGGTAGTTGACCTCGGAGGTCACAGTATCATAGACTCCTGGGGCTGGAAGGAACCCTTGGAAGTCAAGATCATAGACTCTTAGGGTGGGAAAGGACCCTAGGAGTCACGGAAGCATAGTCTCCTAGGGTTGGGACCTTGGAGGTCACATAAGCATAGTCTCTTAAGGTGGGGAAGTTGACCTTGGAGGTCACAGTATCATAGACTCCTGGGGCTGGAAGGGACCTTGGAGGTCTTCTAGTCCAACTTCTGGCCCAAGTTAGGAATCCTCAAAGCACACCAGCCAAATGGTTGTCCATTCTTGGCTTGAGATCCTCCTGGAATGGAGGCCCCTAAAACGCCAAGAGACAGTCATGGTTCCTTTCGTGCTAGGCTGACCTTACACCCACCTTAACAACTCTGGCCAAAAAAGTTGTAAAACTGGGCCTGAGGCCCTTAACCAGCAACTGGGAATCCTGGTGGGAGGACCGCCTCTGTCCAGCCGCGATGAGGGCACTGCTGGATGACCTCAGGGAGAAGGTGGGGGATGGACCCTCCCCAAGAAAGTCTCTTGAGGTGCTCAGTAAGGGTCAACATCAGGGGTCTTCCAACTTGGCCCTTTGATGACTTGTGGACTTCACCTCCCAGAATTCCTCAGCCAGGCACGCGTGCCTGGCTGAGGAATTCTGGGAGTTGAAGTCCACAAGTCATCAAAGGGCCATGTTGGAAGACCCCTGTTTTAAACTCACCACCCTTCGTTAAATTTCTTGGCCTTTACGCTTTTCTATTCATTCCTTTACCGTGTGCGGCAAAACCGGATTTTTCCTTAAACCGCGCGGAATATCAACCGGTCCAGCGTAGTGGAGCATGGGCTATAGGGGGTCAGTGCACCCCAAATGTGCCTTGACACTTACAAAATGCAGGTGACAGAGGCCGAATGTTGCATCTTCAGGCTGTTCTTCCTGTTGCGAATGTTGTCTGAAGACTGATAGACGTGGATGCTGCAATCCAAAGGGGAGAGACGTGAGGTCCGGATCCGGAGGCAACTCAAGGCAAAAAGGGCATCGTGCTGATTTAACAGAGATGAGAGATGAAAAACTGTACTAGACTCATGGGAGGAGGAGGAGGAGGAGGAGGAGGAGGAGGAGGAGGAGGAGGNGGAAGGAAGGAAGGAAGGAAGGAAGGAAGGAAGGAAGGAAGGAAGGAAGGAAGGAAGGAAGGAAGGAAGGAAGGAGGAGGAGGAATGTGGGGTCCTTGCTGCTCTCTGAGCTTGGCTGGTTTCTTGCAGACGTTTCATGACCCAACTAGGTAACATCATTTGTGCTAGAAGGAAGGAAGGAAGGAAGGAAGGAAGGAAGAGGAGGAGGAGGAGGAGGAGGAAGAGGAGGAGGAGGAGGAGAACTGTGGGGTCCTTGCTGCTCTCCAAGCTTGGCTGTTTTCTTGCAGACGTTTCATGACCCACCTAGGTAACATCATCTGTGCTAGAAGGAAGGAAGGAAGGAAGGAAGGAAGGAAGGAAGGAAGGAAGGAAGGAAGGAAGGAAGGAAGGAAGGAAGGAGGAGCTGCTGGGGGGTCCTTGCTGCTCTCTGAGCTTGGCTGCTTTCTTGCAGACGTTTCATGACCCAACTAGGTAACACCCTCAATGCTAGAAGAGAGAGGGCTTTGCTCTCACTTTACATACTAGTGGCTTGCCCTGTCGGTGCTGCTGGCCGTGTTCCTAGCGGTTCCTTGGTTAGGCTGTGCTTACAAGCTCACTCCCACCAACACTGACAGGGCAAACCATATGTAGATACAAGTTTATATAAAAGGAGAAAGGGCAAAACCCACTTGCTTCCAACACTGATGATGTTACCTAGTTCGGTGATGAAATGTCTGCAAAAAAACAGCCAAGGTCAGAGAGCACCCAGGACCCATCAGTCCTCCTCCTCCTCTTCCTCTGCAACCCCCCTCCCCTCTAGCACTGAGGATGTTCCCTAGTTGAGTCACGAAACATCTGCAAGAAAACCGCCAAGCTCAGAGAGCACCAAGGACCCCACAGTCTGTCCTTCTTCCTTCCTTCCTTCTTTCCTTCCTTCCTTCCTCTTCCTCCTCCCTTCTAGCACTGATGATGTTCCCTAGTTGGGTCATGAAACATCTGCAAGAAAACCACCAAGCTCAGAGACCACCAAAGGCCTCAACTCCCACCTACAAATACCTCTTCCGCGAACAGCAGCCCCCAGGGTTAGCCGAACGATCACCCTCTGGCTCCAGAGCAATGAAAGGAATTATATTTATATTAAATCATATTCAAGAGCTCTTGGAGGATCCTGTGACCTCAGAGCAGCCCAGCCAAAGGGATAGAGCAGGGGTCTTCAAACTTGGCCCTTCATGACTTGTGGACTTCAACCCCCAGAATTCCCCAGTCAGCATGGATGGACTTCACCTAAAATTCCTGTCAGCATGGATAGACTTCAACTCCCAGAATGCCCCAGTCAGCATGGATGGACTTCACCTAAAATTCCTGTCAGCATGGATGGACTTCAACTCCCAGAATTCCCCAGTCAGCATGGATGGACTTCACCTAAAATTCCTGTCAGCATAGATGGACTTAAACTCCCAGAATTCCCCAGTCAGCATGGGTCGACTTCACCTAAAATTCCTGTCAGCGTGGATGGACTTCAACTCCCAGAATTCCTCAGCCATCTGAAAACAATGCCCTAAGCCAGGGGTCTTCAAGCCGATTAGTGTACCTCCAAAGTGACAATAAAGTTATTATTCTATTCATCTATCCCAGGGGTCTTCAAACTTGGGCCTTTGATGACTTGTGGGCTTCAACTCCCAGAATTCCTCAGCCAGCGTGCCTAGCTGAGGAATTCTGTGAGTTGAAGTCCGCAAGTCATCAAAGGCCCAAGTTTGAAGACCCCTGGCTTAGGGTATTGTTTCTGGATGGCTGGGGAATTCTGGGAATTGAAGTCCATGCATGCTGACAGGAATTTTAGGTGAAGTCCATCCATGCTGGCTGAGGAATTCTGGGAGCTGAAGTCCACGAGTCATGAAGGGGGCCATAGTTCCCCCATGCTGGCTGAGGAATTCTGGGAGTTGATGCCCACAAGTCCTAAAAGGGCCAAGTTTGAAGACCCCTGGGATAGAGAGCCTGTGGGGAGCCCTCTTTCTCGTCTGGACACTCAGGGAAAACAGGGGTTCTGGCACCGCCCGTTAGCCCCAAACCCGGAGAGATGCCAGGGCAGGGTCTCCTTACCAGCCATCCTCGGTGCCCAGCCACATGGAGCTTTGATAGGCCTCGGGGTCCACGCTCAGCAGGTCTTCCAGGCTGGCCCTGGTGAAGGAGCCTTGACTGGAGCGCCTCATAGCTCGGCCGTCCATGGGGCTTTCGCCGATCTGGTTCTGGGCGAAGGGGCGACCGATGGGGAGGAAGCTACTGGGGTCCTGCTCCTCTTCCGAGCTGGTGGTCTCGGCCGTCACATCTTTGGAACTGGGGCTCTCCTCATCTGCCAAAGGAAAGGGGACCACAAAGTGTAGAGGTTCCTCAACTGACAAACATTTGTACACATATTTAAGTGGACGATCACTTAAATATGAGCCAGCCGTGTGTTGCAGCTGCCACAAAAGCCAACACAGTGCTAGGCTGCATTAACAGAGGGAGAGAATCAAGATCACGTGAAGTGTTAATACCACTTTACAAGGCCTTGGTAAGGCCACACTTGGAATACTGCATCCGGTTTTGGCAACCACGATGTAGAAAAGATGTTGAGACTCTGGAAAGAGTACAGAGAAGAGCAACAAAGATGATTAGGGGACTGGAAGCTAAAACATGTAAGGAATGGTTGCTGGAATTGGGTATGTCTAGTTTAACAAAGAGAAGGACGAGGGGGGACATGATAGCAGCCTTCCAGTATCTCAGGGGCTGCCCCAAAGAAGAGGCAGTCAAGCTGTTCCCCAAAGCCCCTGAAGGCAGGACCAGAAGCAACAGATGGAAACTAATCAAGGAGAGAAGCAACCTAGAACTAACGAGGAATTTCCTGACAGTTAGAACAATTAATCAATGGAACAACCTGCCTCCAGAAGCTGTGAGTGCTCCAACACTGGAAGTTTTTAAGAAGAAATTGGACAGCCAGAAATGGTATAGGGTTTCCTGCCTGAGTAGGAGGTTGGACTAGATGACCTCCAAGGTCCCTTCCAACTCTGTTATTCTATTCTGTTCTTCTCTGTTCTGTCTATCCACTCCTTCCTTCCTTCCTTCCTTCCTTCCTTCCTTCCTTCCTTTCCTTCCTTCCTTTCTTTCCTTCCTTCCTTCCTTCCTTCTTTCAGGCGAAACACATCCAATTCTTTCAACCCTTCTTCATAAGATTTTGCTTCCAAGCCCATCACCATATTCCCTGCTCTTCTCTGCCCTTTTTCCTGGCTCCTCATATTCAAGAGATTTTGGAAAACCCTTTTCCTCCACGCTTTTATTCCAGAATACAGGCCAGTTATTGTAAATTGCTTAAAACCCTTCTCCCAAATCCAAAACCCTTCTCCCAAATTCCTTTGAAGTGGAGTTTTAACGTCCTAAATCCGCAGCTAGCACGTCCTCTGACAGGAAAATCGGAGGAGTCAAGTCCCACCAACTTTAGCAGACATCAGCTTGGGAAAAATAGTTTATAGCTAAACAGGAAGTTATATGCCTGGAGATTTTTTTTTATGTGCTGCTATTTTTAAAGGGCTGCTATAATAAATGCTTCGTTCTGTTTCAAAAGATTAGGACTGCCCCTTTTAATAAAAAAAAAATATTTCTTTTAGGAGGGAGCATTGTTATTTGGGATGATGGTTTATCCCAGTGCATTGTTTATTAATAGGATATCACATCACACCATCTCTAGACACTGGCTACAGCATTCATATAAACAATAACAACTCCCCCCCCGATAACAAGCTCTCATTCGGTGCAGAATACGTCATATTATTCCGGTCTCGGTTCTAACAACGCTGCGATTCTCAAAGTGGATAAACAAGGGCAGCTTCCAGGGAGTAGAAATATTTGGACATTTTGCTAGGTAATAAAAAGCCTGTTCCTTAGGAACAGAGAGAGAACTGAATTGTTTGTGCTCAAATGCTTCCATGCTGATTTATCAAGTACTTGCTGGAAAAAAAAAGCTGGATTTTTTAAAATGTTTATTAAAGCCACCAAGTCTTGGTAGAAGAAAACGGGCTGAAAAAACAACAACTCCATGTATGAGTTTTTGTGTGAGTATATGTGTGTGTTGAACGGGACTTTTGCGGTACAGGTAGTCCTCTGCTTACCGCCACAATTGAGCCCAACATTTTGGTTGTTAAATGAGACGTACGTTAATTTGGCTCCGTTTTATGACATTTCTTGCCACAGTTGTTAAGTGAATCACAAAGTGATTGCTAAAAGCCAACATGGGTTTGTCAAAAACAGATCATGCCAGACAAATCTTATTGCGTTCGTTGACCAAGGGTTTCCTGCCTGAGCAGGGGGTTGGACTAGATGACCTCCAAGGTACCTTCCAACTTTATTATTATTATTAGTAGTAGTAGTAGTAGAATTAGTATTATTATTATAACTGCAGTTGTTCAATTAGTGACACAGTTGTTAAGCTTCCCCGCTGATTTTGCCAAAGGGGATCACGTGAGACCCGGGGATACTGGAACCGTCATAAATATGAAGCGTCTGAATTTGGATCACGTGACCCCAGGACGTTGCAACTGTCATTAAGTACATGCCAGTTTCCAAGCGTCTGAATCTGGATCACGTGACCCCGGGACGTTGCAGCTGTCATTAAGTACATGCCAGTTTCCAAGCGTCTGAATTTGGATCACGTGACCCCGGGACGTTGCAGCTGTCATTAAGTACATGCCAGTTTCCAAGCGTCTGAATTTGGATCACGTGACCACAGGGATGCTTCAACGGTCGTAAGTGTGAAGAACGGTTTTTCAGTGCCGTTGTAATGTGGAACGGTCACTAAATGAACTCCCTGTATAGGTCACGGTGTCCTCTTTTCCCAGAAACAGATAACTCACTTGTAAAGCTGGAGATGGTGGAGTGGCTTTGAAGGGTGCCGGAGGGACTGGGTGAGGACTCGTCGTCGGTGTCATCGCTGTCAAACGGGACAAGTTCCTGGCCGGCGGTATCCATCGGCTCCAAGATCTCCAGAGAAGATCCAGAAATGGAGATGTGCAAACACGGTTGAGGGGCAGCTTCATCCAGGGTGGGGTTTCCCGGCTCCGAGGCTGGGCTGGCTAGAGAGACTGGACGTTCCCTGGGGAAGAAGGCGTTGTAAAATGAAAAGTGAGTCTTGCAGGACATTGTTACATTTAATTCTAGGTTTAATTTGCTTTTGGGTTCTGTTCTGTTCTGTTCTATTCTATTTTCCATTCCATTCCATTCCATATTTTCTATTCTATTCTATTCTATTCTATTCTATTCTATTTTATTCTATTCCATTCCATATTTTCTATTCTATTCTATTCTATTCTATTCTATTCTATTCTATTCTATTCTATTCTATTCTATTCTATTCTATATTTTCTATTCTATTCTATTCTATTCTATTCTATTCTATTCTATTCTATTCTATTCTATTCCATATTTTCTATTCTATTCTATTCTACTCCATATATTCTATTCTATTCTATTCTATTCTATTCTATTCTATTCTATTCTATTCTATTCTATTCTATTCTATTCTATTCCATATTTTCTATTCTATTCTAATTTCATTCTATTCTATTCTATTATACTCTATTCATTATTCTATTCTATTCTATTCTATTCTATTCTATTCTATTCTATTCTATTCCATATTTTCTATTCCATTCTATTCTATATTCCATTCCATATTCTATTCTATTCTATTCTATTCTATTCCATATTTTTTATTCTATTCTATTCTATTCCATATTTTTTATTCTATTCTATTCTATTCTATTCTATTCTATTCTATTCTATTCTATTCTATTCTATTTTATTCTATTCTATTCTATTCTATTCTATCCTATTCCATTCCATTCTTTTGAGTCTACGCTATGCTACTCTATTCTAAATAAATAAATAAAACATGGCCCATATATTTTTTTTTCTAAATCAATTAATTAATTAAAACAAAAACTCCCCATTGACCACTCCTTCCTTCCTTCCTTGCAGGTCCCCTGGAGATTCCCAAGCAGATCCCCCCCAGAGGACGAGGGCGGTTGGCAGGGCTGGTACCTGTAAGTCCTCTTGAGACCCGGCACGGAGGCGATGCACAAAATCCGGGCGGAGCAGACGGCGATGCAGGCCTCCACGATGGGCTCCTTCTTGATGCTGAGAAGGCACACCTGCCCCACGTAGCCGTCGCTGTTGCAGACCCAGACCTCGTAGGCGTTCTCCGGGTTGTTGTGGCTGGGGGAGGCGCAGGAGAACTGGGGAGGGGGGAAGCAAAACAATTCTCCCTTAAGGTCTTCCTTGGCAGCAGGCAAAAGAGGGGAGGGGTTTCCTGCCCACGCCGTGTTTAAGCTAGAGTCTCTCAACCGAAGATGGGTGGACTTCAACTCCCAGAATTCCTCGGCCGGCAATTGAATTCTGGGAGTTGAAGTCCATCAGTCTTAAAAAGGATGGGAAACACTGCTCTAAGCCAGGGGTCTTCAAACATGGCTCTTTTAGGACTTGTGGAGTTCAACTCCCAGAATTCCCCAGTCAGCATGGATGGACTTCCCCTAAAATTCCTGTCAGCATGGATGGACTTCAACTCCCAGAATTCCCCAGTCAGCATGGACTTCTACTCCCAGAATTCCCCGGTCAGCATGGATGGACTTCCCCTAAAATTCCTGTCAGCATGGATGGACTTCAACTCCCAGAATTCCCCAGTCAGCATGGATGGACTTCATCTAAAATTCCTGTCAGCATGGATGGACTTCAACTCCCAGAATTCCCCAGTCAGCATCAATGGACTTCAACTCCCAGAATACCCCAGCCATCCAGAAACAATACCCTAAGCCAGGGGTCTTCAAAGTTGGCCCTTTTATGACTTGCGGACTTCAACTCCCAGAATTCCTCAGCCAGCATGGGGGAACTATGCCCCCTTCATGAAATGTGGACTTCAACTCCCAGAATTCCTCAGCCAGCGTGCCTGGCTGAGGAATTCTGGGAGTTGAAGTCCACAAGTCATAAAAGGGCCGAGTTTGAAGACCCCTGATATAGGTGGTCATGAAGGGTGATCCCAGGATCCCAGGACAATGCAACTGTCATAAAATACACGCTAGGTGCAAGCCCTTGAATTTTGTCCACACAACCACAGAGATGCTGCTACCATAATCGTAAGGGCAAAAAACTGGTCGTAAGTCACTTTTTTTTTTTTACTGCCAATGTAACTTTACACAGTCACTAAACGAACGGTTGAAAGTCAAGGTGTAGGTGTATACTCAAAGTTTTACATTCTACTTGAAGAGCCAGTTCTGAGATTTAGGCAGACAGAAGCAAAGTTAGTCATTCAATGGCAGTGCAATAAATCCAGGGGGAGTTGCATTACAGGGTCTTTTAAACACTTGGCCCATGAAAAGAGTAACTTCTTAATATACAGCCAATTGTCTGAAATGGTATAGGGTTTCCTGGTTGAGCAGGGGGTTGGACTAGATGACCTCCAAGTCCAAGGTACCTTCCTACTCTATTATTTTCTTTTCTATTCTGTTCTGTTCTATTCTAACCTATTCCATTCCATCCCATTCTATTCCATATATTCTATTCTGTTCTGTTCTACTCTACTCTACTCTATTCTATTCCATCCCATCCCATCCCATCCCATATATTCTATTCTGTTCTGTTCTGTTGTATTCTATTCTATTCTAATTCTATTCCATTCCATATATTCTAATTCTAATTCTAATTCTATTCTATTCCTATTCCATTCCATATATTCTAATTCTAATTCTAATTCTAGTTTAATTCTATTCCATTCCATATATTCTAATAATTCTAATTCTAATTCTATTCTAATCTATTATATTGTATTCTAATCTATTCTATTCTATTCTATTCCTATTCCATTCCATTCCATTCCATATATTCTAATTCTAATTCTAGTTTAATTCTATTCCATTCCATATATTCTAATAATTCTAATTCTAATTCTATTCTATTCTATTCTATTCTATTCCTATTCCATTCCTATTCCATTCCATTCCATATATTCTAATTCTAATTCATTCCATTCTACTGCAGAGCCTGTAACAAGTGCGAGAAAAGAACAACCTTGGGTTGGATCGTAAAAGCTTCCACCTACTTGCATCCCGCTCCGTGTTTTCATAATGGGAATTGCCTTCAGGAACTCAGGATCCAGACAGTTTTTGTTAGAAGCTGGATAATTAAAGAGAAATAAATAAATAAACATTGCAGCCTTAGCTTGAAACATAAACACCGATTTTCAGTTTTACAATACATTTTATAATTCCATAAAGAATCAGTATTTCTCTATTTTTATCCTGCCTTTATTATTATTTTATATATGACTCAAGGTAGTGAACATACCTAATACTCCTTCTTCCTCCTGTTTTCCCGACAACAACAATCCTGTGAGGTGGGTTGGGCCCAAAGTCTACCAGCTGGCTTTCATGCCTAAGGCAGGACTAGAACTCACCGTCTCCTGGTGATTGGCCCAAAATCCCCTAGCCAATTTCATGCCTAAGGCGGGACTAGAACTTCCTGTCTCCTGGTGATTGGCCCAAAGTCACCCAGACGGCTTTCATAGCTAAGGCAGGACTAGAACTCACCGTCTCCTGGTGATTGGCCCAAAGTCACCCAGTTGGCTTTCATGCCTAAGGCGGGACTAGAACTCATTGTCTCCTGGTGATTGGCAGTCACCCAAATGGCTTTCATGCCTAAGGCGGGATTAGAACTCCCCATCTCCTGGTGATTGGCCCAAAGTCCCCCAACCGATTTCATGCCTAAGGGCAGGACTTGAACTCGGCTTCACCTGGTTTCCAGCCTGATGCCCTAACCACCACACAAAACTGCCTCTCCATAATATATTAGAAAACCACAATGCCCATGGTATTTTAGCTCACTTTTTCACTTATTTGATTTTTCCATGCATATTTTTACCCTTTTCTCTTTTTTTACATGTTTTTATCGCTCCTCGTTTCTAGTCTTTCTTTAAAGCATAATTTTAAAAAACTCTTAGCAAACTTGTAGCATTATCCGATCAGTTGCCGATGCCACTGTGCAGTGTCACAGCGAAAGCACAACGCAAATTGGAATAGATTAAAAGCTTTCCCGCTTTGTCAACCCTATTTGCCCTATTGAAAACCCCAAAAAATTCTCATATAGAGTGCATGAGCAAATAGATTTGGCTTCCAGGAATTCAGACTGAATCCAATCCCTGTTCACAGAAAATCAGCATGTCGGGGAGCAGACAACAGGCTAATTTTCACAGTGAGGGGTTAGCTTTCTACCTGCAGGGTGTGCAGCTAAGAAGGAGCATTGAGTTGGCTATTTAGATTTCAATTCAGACTGAATCCAATCCCGGTTCATAGAAAATCAGCATGTCAGGGAGCAGACGGCCAGCTAATTTTCACAGCGAGGGGCTAGCTTTCTACCTGCGGGGTGCACAGCTAAGAAGGAGCACCGAGTTGGCTATTTAGATTTGAATTCAGATTGAATCTAATCCCTGTTCACAGAAAATCAGCATGTCAGGGAGCAGACGGCCTGCTAATTTTCACAGGGAGGGGCTAGCTTTCTACCTGTGGGGTGTGCAGCTAAGAAGGTGCATCAAGTTGGCTATTTAGATTTCAATTCAGACTGAATCCAATCCCTGTTCACAGAAAATCAGCATGTCAGGGCGTAGACGGCAGGCTATTTTTCACAGTGAGGGGCTAGCTTTCTACTTGCGGGGTGTGCAGCTAAGAAGGAGAATCGAGTTGGCTATTTAGATTTGAATTCAGACTGAATCCAATCCCTGTTCACAGAAAATCAGCATGTCAGGGAGCAGACGGCAGGCTAATTTTCACAATGAGGGGCTAGCTTTCTACCTGCGGGGTGTGCAGCTAAGAACGAGCATCGAGTTGGCTATTTAGATTTGAATTCGGATTGAATCCAATCCCTGTTCGTAGAAAATCAGCATGTCAGGGAGCAGACGGCCGGCTCATTTTCACAGTGAGGGGCTAGCTTTCTACCTGCGGGGTGTGCAGCTAAGAAGGTGCATCGAAAATCAGCATGTCGGGGAGCAGACAACAGGCTAATTTTCACAGTGAGTAGCTAGCTTTCTACCTGCAGGATGTGCAGCTAAGAAGGAGAATCGATTTGGCTATTTAAATTTCAATTCAGACTGAATCCAATCCCTGTTGATAGAAAATCAGCATGTCAGGGCGCAGATGGCAGGCTAATTTTCACAGCGAGGGGCTAGCTTTCTACCTGCGGGGTGCACAGGTAAAAAAAGAGCATCAAGTTGGTTATTTAGGTTTGAATTCAGACTGAATCCAATCCCTGCTCACAGAAAATCAGCATGTCAGGGAGCAGACGGCAGGCTAATTTTCACATTGAGGGGCTAGCTTTCTACCTGCGGGGTGTGCAGGTAGAAAGCGTCGCCCGTTCATTTAAAGCGGTGCCAAACCATCCAAAGAAGACTACCTAGCTTCTTCTTTGCGTCCTCAAAGCCTTGTTCAAAATTGTGCCGGGCGTCCGGATTGGGAAATTCAAAAATGTGAGAGTCGGTGCTGTCGGATTTGGTGACGGTCATCTCCATCTTGTTGGGCGGGAAGGAGAGGCTGAAGGACACCGACTGCTTCTCCGTCAGTTCCCGGTGGATGGCGGCCATTAAATCCTTGATGACGTCATCCAGGGTCTGAAGAACAGAGCAGAGATCAGAACCCGGAGCGTGGGAATCTCAAAAGCTTTTCGGATAATGTGAGCTTGGCTGGAAAAAACCCCCCCAAAAAAACAAAACAAAACAAAACAAGCCAAATTTTCTCTAGCAGACTCAAAGAATCACAACTGGGCTTTTGGGGCGGGCCAGGTTGTTAACCTAAAAACGTGACCCACACACACACACACACACACAAAAAAGCCCGGTTGTCATTCTACAGGCAGTCCTCTACTTACGACCACAATTGAGCCCGAAATGGATGCTGCTAAGTGAAAAATTTTGCCCCGTGTTTCGATTTTTCTTGTCACCATTGTCGCAAAGGTGTGCTTTTTTTCAAGAGGCAACTGGACTTTCTCGTTTTGCTTTGAAGATGTTTCGCTTCTCACCCCAGAAGCTTCTTCAGCTCTGACTGGATGGTGGGGAAGGGAAGGATTTATACTCCTTGCAGAAAAACTGGTCATTTGCGTCCTTTTAGAGGGTCGTTGAGGCCACTTGGAGGTTTGTCTGTGTCCTCAAGGTCACCTGAGTGGTGCAAATGGGCGTGGAGCCTTTTCTTTGAAGACGTTTCGCTTCTCATCCAAAGAAGCTTCTTCAACTCCGACCGGACGGTGGGGAACGGAAGGATTTATACTCCTTGCAGAAAAACTGGTCATTTGCCTCCTTTTAGAGAGTCGTTGAGGCCACTTGGAGGTTTATCTGTGTCCTCGGGGGTCTATCGATCTCCAATCTGCAACACAATCCTTTCAGCAGTTCCAAGAAGGCTCCACACCCATTTGCACCACTCAGGTGGCCCTGAGGACACAGACAAACCTCCAAGTGGCCTCAATGACTCTCTAAAAGAATGCAAATGACCAGTTTTTCTGCAAGGAGTATAAATCCTTCCATTCCCCACCATCCGGTCGGAGCTGAAGAAGCTTCTTGGATGAGAAGAGAAATGTCTTCAAAGAAAAGGCCCCACACCCATTTGCACCACTCAGGTGACCCTCAGGACACAGGTAAACCTCCAAGTGGCCTCAACGACCCTCTAAAAAGGACACAAATGACCAGTTTTTCTGCAAGGAGTATAAATCCTTCCCTTCCCCTCCATCCGGTCAGAACTGAAGAAGCTTCTTGGATGAGAAGCGAAACGTCTTCAAAGAAAAGGCTCCATGCCCATTTGCACCACTCAGGTGACCCTCAGGACACACGTAAACCTCCAAGTGGCCTCAACGACCCTCTAAAAAGGAATGCAAATGACCAGTTTTACTGCAAGGAGGATAAATCCTTCCATTCCCCCACCATCCGGTCAGAACTGAAGAAGCTTCTTGGGATGAGAAGCGAAACGTCCTCAAAGAAAAACGGAAGGAAGCCCAGTTGCCTCCTGAAAAAGCATCTTTGGGACAAGCCGAGGATTAACCTGTAGTGATTTTTTTATTATTATTATTATTATTATTTAAATTTATATTTTTTATTGAAAACGTTTTAGGCATAATCCGTAGTTTCGATTGGACGGCTCACCTGGCTAGCTGCATTTATTTTTTTAAACCCCCCCCCAATTTAAACGCTCCTCCTCCGGCTTTTGGAAGGGGAAGACGCTCACCTGGTGGGCGAAGCTGAGGGTCTCGGAGAGTTTGCTGACTTGACCCAGGGTGCTGAGGTCCTCGTCCAGGCGGCAGATGGCTTTCTGGATGCTGTCCCGGTTGGTGGACTGACAGCTCCCTGCGCGTGCAGAAAGAAAACCCGTTTTAAGGCTTGGCGACGTTATCGACTCAACAGCCCATAAAGTCACCTCTCAGAGGAAGGGGTGGAGTAGCCCTGCTTGGTTCTCTCTGCCTAGATTGTTGCCTGCACTCTTGACATGCTAAATAGAGGAGAACAGCTGTGGCTGAGGGCTGGAGGGCTGGCTGAGTTGGGTTGTTTTCGTGAAGACGTTTCATTCCCAAACTGGGTAACGTCATCAGTGCTATGGAGTGGATTTTGCAGAGGAGGAGGAGGAGGGGCTGGTTGTGGTGGTGGTGGTGGTGATGGTGGTGGAGGAGGAGGAAGAGGAGGAGGAGGAGGAGGAGGAGGAAAAGGACAGTGAGGTCCTTGGTACTCCCTGAGGTTGGGTTAAATGCTTGCAGGTAACACCATCAGTGCTATAGAGTGGATTTTGCAAAGAGGAGGAGGAGAAGAGAAGGAAGAAGAGGAAGAGGAGAAAGAGGAGGAGGAGGAGGAGGAGGAGGAGGAGGAGGAGGAGGAGGAAAAGGACTGTGAGATCCTTGGTACTCCCTGAGGTTGGTTAAATGCTTGCAGGTAACACCATCAGTGCTATAGAGTGGATTTTGCAAAGACGAGGAGGAGGAAGAGGAGGAGGAGGAAGAGGAGGAGGAGGAGGAAGAGGAGGAGGAGGAGGACTGCTCATCCTGTCAGTTCAGCAGAAAACATCCCACCAACCTACGTTTGGCACCTGCCCTGCAAGTCGGCCCGCCTGATGTAGAGTTTTCTCCTGAAAACTCTTTCTAAGGACTGCAGCCTTTACACCCACGGGCTCTATCAGTCCCAGATCAGCCATCAATCAATCAACCGACCAATCAATCAATCAGAATAGAGCTGGAAGGGACCTCGGGGGTCATCTAGTCCAACCCCCTGCTCAGGCAGGAAACCCTATACCATTTCAGACAAATGGCTGTCCAGTCTCTTCTTAAAAACTTCCAGTGTTGGAGCATTCACAGCTTCTGGAGGCAGGTTGTTCCACTGGTTAATTGTTCTAACTGTCAGGAAGTTTCTCCTTAGTTCTAGGTTGCTTCTCTCCTTGATGAGTTCCCATCCGTTGCTTCTCGTCCTGCCTTCTTCAGGCGCTTTGGAGAAGAGCTTGACTCCCTCTTCTTTGGGGCAGCCCCTGAGATATTGGAACACTCCTATCATGTCACTCTTACCATGATGGCATCACAAACCTTTCACAATGTCGACGTCCTCCAGCGGCATTTTCCAAAGCAGTTTGTACTTGCTGGCAGTGTCGATCACACTGGCCGCTGTGTAGCTGGAGAGAAAAATGGAGACTGAGAAATTGCAATATCAAAGTAGACTTTTCTTAAAAAAAAAAATCTAATACAGGTAAACCCTTGGCCTACGACCATTTGTTTAGCCACCGTTTCAAGTTACACCAGCGTTGAAAAAAGGGGCTTAGGACCAGTTCTGTTGCAGCATCCCCGTGGTCACGTGATCCAAATTCAGAGGCTTGGCAACTGGCCGGGGCCTACGTCAGTTGCGCTGTCCCAGGGTCACGTGATCACCATTTGTAGCCTGCCAGGATGCTTCCAACAAGCAGAGTCAAGGGGTGAAGCCAATTTCCCTATAAAGATGGCAGGAGTCGCTTAACGACCGCAGCGATTCGCTTAATAACCCTGGGAGAAAAAGGTCGTAAAATTGAGGTACAGGTCACTTCAACAACTGCCTCGCTTAGCAACGGAAATTTCCGGGCTCGGTTGTGGTGGTGGTGACGACTGCATATAAGGCAGGGGTCTTCAAACTTGGCGACTTGAAGACTTGTGGACTTCAACTCCCAGAATTCCTCAGCCAGCCCTGCTGGCTGAGGAATTCTGGGAGTTGAAGTCCACAAGTCTTCAAGTCGCCAAGTTTGAAGACCCCTGGTATAAGGAAAAGATTCCCTCTAGTCACCCTTAACTCTACTGCAGGGGTCTTCAAACGTGGCCCTTTTATGACTTATGGACTTCAACTCCCAGAATTCCTCAGCCAGGCACGCTGGCTGAAGAATTCTGGGAGTTGAAGTCCACAAGTCAGAAAAGGGCCACGTTTGAAGACCCCTACCCTAGTGCCTTCTATGAAAAATTTAAGAGTTGTCTAATACCTGTAAATGTAATTGCACAAAACAACTTGCTTGCATACAGAGGTGGGGTATAAGTCTTGTGAGAAATCAGCATCAACAGTGTTAGAGCAGCATTTCTCAAAATCAGTAACTTGGAAGATGTTGGGACTCCAACTCCCAGAATTCCCCAGCTAGCATGCTAGCTGGAGAATTCTGGGAGTTGAAATCCAGCCATATCGGCTGGGAAGTTCTTGTCAATTGAGGTCTACCCCAGCTGACTGATGAATTCTGGAAATTGCAGTCTATATAGGTTAGCGAGGGAATTCTGGGAGCTGAAGTCCATTCAGGCTGATTGAGGAATTCTGGGAGCCGAAGTCAACTCAGACTAACTGAGGAATTCTGGGAACTGAAGTCCACTCAGACTAACGGAGGAATTCTGGGAACTGAAGTCCACTCAGACTAACGGAGGAATTCTGGGAGCTGAAGTCTAGTTAGACTAANTATTCTATTCTATTCTATTCTATTCTATTCTATTCTATTCTATTCTATTCCCATCATATCCCTATATATTCTATTCTATTCTATTCTATTCTATTCTATTCTATTCTATTCTATTCTATTCTATTCCCATCACCATCCCTATATATTCTATTCTATTCTATTCTGTTCTGTTTTATTCTATTCTATTCTGTTCTATTCCATATTTCTGTTCTATTCTGTTCTATTCTATTCTATTCCATATTTCTATTCTATTCTGTTCTGTTCTATTCTATTCTGCGTTATTTTATTCTATTCTATTCTATATTCTATTCTATATTTTATATTCTGTATTCTATTCTATTCTATTCTATTCTATTCTATTCTATTCTATTCTATTCTATTCTATTCTATTCTATTCTATATTCTCTTTTATTCTATTCCTTATTCTATTCTATTCTATTCTGCATTATTTTTATTATTTTTATTATTTTTATTTTTATTATTATTATTATTATTATTATTATTATTATTATTATTATTATTATTATTATTATTATTATTATTATTATTATTATTATTATTATTATTATTATTATTATTATTATTATTGAAAGCCAGTCTCCCCAGGGTCATATGATGCCCTTTTGCGACCTCCCAACCAACAACATCAATGGGGAAGCCAGATTCATTTAACTACTGCCGTGTCTTACTTAACTGCAGCAAGAAAGGTCGTAAAATGGGGCAGAACTCATTTTAACAACCGTCTCGCTTAGTAGCTGACATTTCAGACTTAATTGTCAAGGAGTGTCTGTATTCCCTGGCACCAGATCACACTGCTTGCCTCTTATTTGATCTATTTATTTATATTTATTTTTTTTAAAAAACTAAACCTGGCTGTGGGTTGCTAACCTCACACTTCTGGAGGAAAGCAGAGTTGAGAGGTCATCTAGTCCAACCCCCTGCTTAGGCAGGAAACCCTATACCGTTTCAGACAAATGGTTGTCCAGTCTCTTCTTAAAAGCCTCCAGGGATGGAAGCACCCACAATTTCTGGACGCAAGTCGTTCCACTGGCTAATTGTTCTCACTGTCAGGAAAGTTCCAGATTGCTTCTCTCCTTGATTAGTTCCCATCCGTTGCTTCTTGTCCTGCCTTCAGGGGCTTTGGAGAATAGCTTGACTGCCTCTTCTTTGGGGCAGCCCCTGAGATACTGGAAGACTGCTATCATGTCCCCCCTCGTCCTTCTCTTCATTAAACTGGACATACCCATTTCCAGCAACCGTTCCTTGTAGGTTTTAGCCTCCGAGTCCCCTGATCCTCTTTGTTGCTCTTCTCTGCACTCTTTCTAGAGTCTCAACATCTTTTTTATAATATGCTGACCAAAACTGAATGCAGGATTCCACGTGTGGTTTTACTAATGCTTTATGAGATGCTCCTATTTCTGGTACATGTCAAAGTTCTACGAGATATGGACGCTTTGGACAAGGAGTACTTACCACTTCCACCACCATCTCCTGCCGTAAGAACCTCCGAAGGGGAGCCTGGAGCTGTAGAGATGAGAGATCAGATCATCAGTATTTTAGAACCTTCTACAGCTATTGTCTATAATAATTCCAAAGTCTAATAAAGGAGAATATTTGTAACTCTGGGTTGAACTGTGAGGTCCTTGGTGCTCTGAGTTTGGTTGTTTTCTTGCAGACGTTTCTTTACCCAACTAGGTAACATCATCAGTGGTTGAAGGGAATGGGGTTTATGGATTGGAGGAGAAAACAAAGGGGAGAGGAGGAGGAGGAGGAGGAGGAGGAGGAGGAGGAGGAGGAGGCCTGTGGGGTCCCTGGTGCTCTCTGGGTTTGGTTGTTTCCTTGCAGACGTTTCTTTACCCAACTAGATAACATCATCAGTGCTAGAAGGAAGTGAGGTTTCTATTTATAAACAAGTAGCTTGCTTCAAAGAGTAAATTCCTCTCTCTTCCAGCACTGATGATGTGACCTAGTTGGGCCATGAAACATCTGCAACAAAACAACCCAGCTGAGAAAGCACCAAGGACCTCACAGTCTCCTCCTCCTCCTCCTCCTCCTCCTCCTCCTCCTCCTCCTCCTCCTCTTCCTCCTCCTTCTATGGTAGTCCTCCTCCTCCTCCTGCTCCTCCTCCTCCTCTTCCTCCTCCTTCTATGGTAGTCCTCCTCCTCCTCCTGCTCCTCCTCTTCCTCATGTCCCTCCTCCTCCTCTTTGCAAACCCCCCTCTCTTCCAGCACTGATGATGTGACCTAGTTGGGTCATGAAACATCTGCAAGAAAACCACCAAGCTCAGAGAGCACCAAGGATCCCATGGTCCTCCTCCTCTTCCTCCTCCTCTCTACACAGTCCACTCCCTTCTAGCACTGATGCTATTACCCAGTTGGGTAATGAAACGTCCGCAAGATAACAACTAAGATCAGAGAGCATCCCCACAGTCCTCTTCCTCCTCCTCCTCCTCCCTTCTAGCACTGATGATGTTACCTACTTGGGTCATGAAACCTCTGCAAGAAAACCACCAAGCTCAGAGAGAACCAAGGACCCCACAGTCCTTCTCCTCCTCCTCCTCCTCCTCCTCTCCCCTTTGTTTTTTCCTCCACTCCACAAATCCCACTCCCTTCTAGCACTGATGATGTTACCTAGCTGGGTCATGAAATGTCTGCAAGAAAACAATCAAGCTCAGAGAGCACCTAGGACCCCACATTCCTCCTCCTCCTCCTCCTCTCTTCCCACTCCCTTCCAGCACTGATGATGTAACCTAGTTGGGTCATGAAACACCTGCAAGAAAACCACCCAGCTCAGAGAGCACTAAGGACCCCACTTTTTTTCTTTTTTTTTTGAGATCCACCAAGATAGAAACGTGGTGTAGCTAACCCAAATTAGCTGTGATTAATTTGTGGAGGGGACCCTGCCCCATCTGAGAGCTTCGGAACTTACGTCTTCCATGCCTTCGATGTGGGATTCGATCTCCTGCACGATCCGGGCGTTGCGCTCCACCTCCTCCGCGCTCTTCATCCCTTTGTTGATCTTCTCCGCGACCTGCTTGATGCTCGTCTGCGCTTCTATCAAGAAGGGGTGGTCCGGATGCTCCTCTGAGGTGTGTTTGAGAAGGTCCTGGTGGGGAAGAGAGGAGCTCGCGTGAGAGCAGAAGACAACCCAGATGGGGAAGGTGAGGGGCGGTTTCAGCTCAGGCGCCATTTGCTCTCAGCGTGGAGGACAAACCAGAGATGAGAAAATAAGCCCTGTGTTCTTCAACGTTGTCATCAATGACTTGGATGAGGGGATAGATCGGGGGTCTTCAAACGTGGCCCTTTTATGACTTGTGGACTTCAACTCCCAGAATTCCCCAGTCAGCATGGATGGACTTCACCTAAAATTCCTGTCAGCATGGATGGACTTCAACTCCCAGAATTCCCCAGTCAGCATGGATGGACTTCACCTAAAATTCCTGTCAGCATGGATGGACTTCAACTCCCAGAATTCCCCAGTCAGCATGGATGGACTTCACCTAAAATTCCTGTCAGCATGGATGGACTTCAACTGCCAGAATTCCCCAGCCATCCAGAAACAATACCCTAAGCCAGGGGTCTTCAAACATGGCCCTTTTATGACTTGTGGACTTCAACTCCCAGAATTCCCCAGTCAGCATGGATGGACTTCAACTCCCAGAATTCCCCAGCCATCCAGAAACAATACCCTAAGCCAGGGGTCTTCAAACTTGGCCCTTTTATGACTTGCGGACTTCGACTCCCAGAATTCCCCAGTCAGCCTGGATGGATTTCAACTAAAATTCCTGTCAGCATGGATGGACTTCAACTCCCAGAATTCCCCAGCCATCCAGAAACAATACCCTAAGCCAGGGGTCTTCAAACGTGGCCCTTTTATGACTTGCGGACTTCAAATCCCAGAATTCCTCAGCGAGGCGTGCGTGGCTGAGGAATTCTGGGAGTTGAAGTCCACAAGTTATAAAAGGCCCACGTTTGAAGACCCCTGGGATAGACAAATAGAATAATAACTTTATTATCACTTTGGATGTGCACTAATCGGCTACATTAAAATGAAATTTTGTTGCATACAGCTCTCAAAGGGTCTCCACCTCCGATATATACTACTACATAAATATGACATAAATAAGTAAATAAGTAAGTAAGTAAATAAATGAATACTGGATTATGCATATGCCCATATATATTATAGATGGGGAACTCATCAGAATTTGCAGTTTCCATGCATTGCTTCTAGTCCTGCCTTCAGGCGCTTTGGAGAATAGCTTGACTCCCTCTTCTTTGGGGCAGCCCCTGAGATACTGGAAGACTGCTATCATGTCCCCCCTCGTCCTTCTCTTCATTAAACTAGATCTACCCAATTCCAGCAACCATTTTTCATATTGTTTTAGCCTCCAGTTCCCTAATCATCTCTGTTGCTCTTCTCTGCCCTCTTTCTAGAGTCTCAACATCTTTTCTTATATAGTGGCGACAAAAACTGGATGCCGTATTCCAGGTTTGGCCTTACCAAGGCCTTGTAAAGTGGTATTAACACTTCACGTGATCTTGATTCTCTCCCTCTGTTAATGCAACTTAGGATTGTGTTGGCTTTTTTGGCATCACCCTGAGCCTCAGAAATGAAGGAAAATCAACTTTTAGAGGCAAGTCATTCCACTGGTTTTCACTGCCAGGAAATTCCTCCTTAATTCCAGGTTGCTTCTCTCCTTGATGAGTTTCCATCCGTTGCTTCTTGTCCTGCCCTCAGGCGCTTTGGAGAAGAGCTTGACTCCCTCTTCTTTGGGGCAGCCCCTGAGATATTGGAAGACTGCTATCCTGTCCCCCCTCGTCCTTCTCTTCATTAAACTATGTTTGGAAGGGACCTTGGAGGTCATCTAGTCTAACCCCGTTCAGGCAGGAAACCCTATTCCGTGTCAGACAAATGGCTGTCCAGTCTCTTCTTAAAAACCTCCAGTGTTGGAGCATTCACCACTTCTGGAGGCAGGTTGTTCCCCTGGTTAATTGTTCTCACTGTCAGGAAGTTTCTCCTTAGTTCTAGCCTGCTTCTCTCCTTGATGAGTTTCCATCCGTTGCTTCTTGTCCTGCCTTCAAGGTGCTTTGGAGAAGAGCTTGACTCCCTCTTCTTTGGGGCTGACCCTCAAATATTGGAAGACCGCTATCACGTCGACCAGTTTTTTACTAAACCAGACATACCCAATTCCTTCACACCATTTAACCGCGTCTCCTGCCAAGCTCAAGAGGGCCCACACGTGTGGTTGGGCGCTGATCTGTGCCAGCAGAGCAGCCTCTGGGAAGCCGGAAAAGCACCAGAAAAAAAACCCAACAACGGCCTTTTCTGCCCCAATATAACCAGCTCCTGGCTGATTCATCCCACCCAGAGCCCATAAATTGGCCTGGATAATTGGCCAGCTGCAAGAAATCCCGTTTGGATAATGGAGTGCCAGCTTGCCGGGCATCAATCTTAACCGGGCTGAAATGGGAAGGGCGATTCTGTGTGGGCTCATTTATTTATAAGGGGCAGCGAAGAGCCAGGAAAGGAAGGATTTGTGTCTGTGTGTGTGTGTGTCAAAGCTTCCCGCCGTGCCGCCGCGTGTAAACGGAGGTGTTGCCAACAACGTCTCTGCCTTTTGTCACATTGCGGCGGTGTGCTTGATTCTAAGCCTGGCGGTTATATTTCTTCCCCGGCAAGCCAGTTTTTCTCTCGCTGAACACTTCCTGGACTTCCCGGTTCCTTTTTTCCCCGTGCCAAGAATATCTGAGTTTGCAGCTGCCCGCTGGGGGGGGGGGGGAACGTCGGCGCATTGCTTCAAGCCTTAGGAATCCGGCGAATGTTGACATTTGCTAGAGAGGCTGAAGCTTTAAAAAAAAAAAAAGGGCTCCGAAAGAACCATTTCCAATAAAAAATAAAAATAAAATCTGGAAGCATTAAATCTTTCTCGGAACAGGCAAAGGTCACCGAGCCCAACATCCTGTTTCTAATAGAAGAACAGAGCTGGGAGGGACCTCGGAGGTCTTCTAGTCCAACCCGTTGCTCAGGCGGGGAACCGTATACCATTTCAAGATTCTTTTGCAAATTCTACCTCCTCCAACACCACCGTCATCATCATTTTATTCCAACTTCACAAATACACACCTACACACAGACACCCAGACACACATCTGGTGGTTAAGGCACCAGGCAGGAACCAAGAGAGGGCGAGTTCAAGTCCTGCCTTAGGCATGAATGCCGGCTGGGTGACTTTGGGCCAATCACCAGGAGACGGTGAGTTCAAGTCCTGTCTTAGCCATGAAAGCTAGTTGGGTGACTTTGCGCCGATCACCAGGAGACAGTGAGTTCTAGTCCCGCCTTAGTCATGAAAGTTGGTTGGGTGACTTTGCGCCAATCACCAGCAGACGGTGAGTTCTAGTCCAGCCTTAGGTATGAAAGCCAGCTGGGTGACTTTGGGCCAATCACCAGGTGGTGGTGAGTTCTAGCCCCGCCTCAGGCATGAAAGCTGACTGGGTTACTTTGGGCCAATCACTAGGTGACTGGGAGTTCTAGCCCCGCCTTAGCCATGACAGCTGACTGGGTGGCTTTTGACCAATCATAAGGGGACGATGAGTTCTAGTCCCGCCTTAGGCATGAAAACTGGCTGTGTGACTTTTTCCAGTGCTGCTGTAAGTCCAAATGACCATTCAAAGTTACAATGGTATTGAAAAAAGTGACCTATGACTGTTTTTCACCCTTACACAATTGTTGCAGCATCCCCACGGCCACGTGATCAAACTTTGGATGCTTGGCAACTGGCATGTACTTATGACAGTTGCAATTATCCCCTTTTGTGGCCTACTGACAAGCAAAATCAATGGGGAAGCCAGATTCACTTAACGACCGCAGTGACTCTCCTAACCACCAGGGCAAAAGGGTCATAAAGTGGGCTGGGACTCACTTAACGACCACCTCGCTTAGCAATGGAAATGTTGGGCTCAATTGGGATCGTAAGTCAAGGACAGCGAGAACAATCAAACAATGGAACAGGAGTTGCCTTCAGAAATTGTTGGAGCTTCATCACTGGAAGCTTTCAAGAAGAGACTGGAGTACCATCTATCAGAAATGGTATGGGGGGTCTCCTGCTTGGGCGGGGGGTTGGACTAGATGATCTACAAGGTCCCTTCCAAACTCTATTATTCCTATTCCATTCCATATTTTCTATTCTATTCTATTCTATTCTATTCTATTCTATTCTATTCTATTCTATTCTATTCTATTTCTGTATTCTATTTTATTTCTATTCTGCATTCTGTTTATTATTAATATTATTATATTATATTATATATTTCTATTCTATTCTGCATTGTTTTATTCTGTAATTCTACTATTCTATTCTATTCCTATTCTGCATTCTATTCATTATTATTATTATTATTATTACTATTATTATTATTATATTCTATATTTCTATTCTATTCTATTCTGCATTCTGTTCTATTCTATTCTATTTCTATTCTGTATTCTATTCTATTTTATTTCTATTCTGCATTCTGTTCTATTCTGTAATTCTATTCTGTAATTCTATTCTGTAATTCTATTCTACCCTGTCCTGTCCTGTCCTGTCCTGTCCTATCCTATCCTATCCTATCCTATCTCTAGTTCTAATTCTAATTCTAATCTCTTTAGACTACCTATATTCCACATCTCCTCGGATGATATCCAGATATGGTTTTCTTCAAATGTGTGGATCAGAGCCATTTTTTTTTTAAAAAAAAGATTTATTTTTCTCCTGAAGATTGGAAGTCTCAGCGATCCAAAAGGAGTGACCAGTCTTTCTCTAAAGAGTTCCAAACTGGGGCTTTGAGAAGGCATGTCAAATATTCAAGGAATTCAGCCAGGAAGGGAAAACTGACCATCCGGCTTCCACACCACCCAAAAACCAGAGTGAAAGAACACAGCACCTCCGCAGAAAAAACCCAGAGAGAAAATTTCCCATGGAAAATATCCAGGGCTCACTGGTTTCCTCTACTCTCCGAGTTTACGCAAGAAATCTCCCTTGGGGAATGTTTAGGGAGCAAAGAGAAAAGAAAAAACGGATTTTCTTTTCCAGCAGCCAATCATGGTGGAGCGTTTGGTAAAAGACGGTTTGAAAAAACAGAGAACTAAAACGAAGCGAAGCAGGGAAGCCGAAGATGAAAGAGGATGAATAAATAGCCTTAAAAATAAGACTGACATTAGGAGCCCAAAAATAAATGTTACAGGTAGTCCTTGACTTACAATCATTCACTTAGTGACGGTTCAGAGTTGTAACGGCATTAAAAAGATGACTTATGACCGTTTTTCATCCTTACGACCCTTGATCATGTGATCAAAATTCGGACACTTGGCAACTGGCTCATATATAATAATAATAATAATAATAATAATAATAATAATAATAATAATAATAATAATAATAATAATAATAATAGAGAAGACAGCAACAGACAGTAAGTGCCGCCTCTGCAAAGACGCTGAAGAAACAGGGGACCACCTGGTAAGCTGCTGCAAGAAGATCGCACAGACTGACTACAAGCAGCGGCATGACAAAGTAGCAACAATGGTGCATTGGAAGATCTGCAAGAAATATCATTTGCCTGTAAGCAAGAACTGGTGGGATCGTAAAATAGAGAAAGTCATAGAAAATGATAAAGTTAAACTGCTCTGGGACTTCAGAATTCAAACAGACAAGCACCTGCAACATAACACCCCGGACTTAACAATTATCGATAAGAAAGACAAAAAAGTCTGGATAGTGGACGTGGCAGTGCCTGGAGACAGCAGAATAGAGGAGAAAGAACTGGAGAAGATAACAAAATACAAAGACCTACAAATAGGAATAGAAAGACTGTGGCAAAGGCAAGCAAGGGTAGTACCAATAGTCATAGGCGCCTTGGGTGCAATCCCAAAACAACTGGAGCACCCCTTGAAGACCATCATCAGCATTGACAAATTCGCCATTAGTCAATTGCAAAAGGCGGCCTTACTAGGAACTGCTTCCATCCTGTGACGAGATCTGTAATACCATCAAACATCCACATCTGCCTATCCCAGGTCCTTGGGAAGGATTCGATAGGTAGACAAAAATGCCAAATCCAGTCTGAACATCTGGCTGACTGTGCGATGATCAATAATAATAATAATAATAATAATAATAATAATAATAATAATAATAATAATAATAATAATAATAATAATAATAATAATAATAAAGTTGGAAGGGACCTTGGAGGTCATCTAGTCCAACCCCCTGCTCAGGCAGGAAACCCTATACTAGGACCTATATTTATGACGGTCGCAGTGTTCCCGGGGGTCACGCGATCCCGTTTTGCGACCTTCTGACAAGCAAAGTCAATGGGGGAAGGAAGCCGGATTCACTTAACAACCGCGTTACCAATTTAACTATTGCAGTTGATTCGCTTAACGACCGTGGCAGGAAAGGTCGTAAAATGGGGCAAAGTTCCACAAAATAACAATCATCTCCCTGAGCAACAGAAATTCTGAGTTCCCTTGTGGTCGTTATGTGGAGGAAGACAGGTATATATTTCTGAGGTCAGTCAGGTTAAAAAAACAGTGCGTTTCCGCAGCGCTTCGATTGTGAGCCAAATAAACAGCCCTGTTGGAATACTCACTTTGACCAGAAGTTCGTAGCGTGGAATCCGTTGCACCGGTTTGATCATCAGATCAGAGAGCGCCTGTTTCTCTTTGTTTTCCCGCATGCTTTGCTACAGGGGACAAGGGAGAATAAAAAAAGAGAGGCTTAAATATCCCCGATTAAAGATCTGGGGTGACATGTTTGATCGAGTAGTTAAGGCACCAACTGGAAAGCAGGAGACAGAGAATTCTAGCACCACTTTAGGCATGAAATCTGGGTGACTATGCGCCAATCACCAGGAGACGGCGAGTTCTAGTCCATCTTAGTCATGAAATCCAGGTGACTTTGGGCCAATCACTAGGAGACGGTGACTTCTAGTCCTGCCTTAGGCATGAAAGCTGGGTGACTTTGGGCCAATCACTAGGAGACGGTGAGTGCATCTTAAGCATGAAATCTGGGTGACTTCAGGCCAATCACTAGGAGATGGTGAGTTCTAATCCACCTTAGGTCTGAAATCTGGGTGACTCTGGGCCAATCATTAGGAAACGGTGAATTCTAGTCCTGCCTTAGACATGAAATCTGGGTGACTTTGGGCCAATCACCAGGAGACAGTGAATTCTAGTCCATCTTAGGCATGAAATCTGGGTGACTCTGGGCCAATCACCAGGAGACAGCGAGTTCTAGTCCATCTTAGGCAGGAAATCCGGGTGACTTTGGGCCAATCTCTAGGAGACAGTGAGTTCTAGTCCTGCCTTAGGCATGAAAGCCAGCTGGGTGACGATGATGATGATGATGATGTTACCTAGTTGGCTAATGAATTGTCTGCCAGAAATAACCAAGCTCAGCGAGCACAAAGGCCTCCTCAATCAATATGGCCAAGGTTAAGGGAGTATGGGATATGTAGTCCCCAAAGCATTTGATCGGCAAGGAGCTAACGTGCACCAAGCTCACAAGCCTAGTTGTTGACTGCAATCCAAGAAGCTTTAAATAGGTGGATCCTTTTAAAAAACAACAACAGAACATCCGAAGCAGAGAATGAATGAATGAATGAATGAATGAATGAATGAATGAATGAATGCACACAACAGAGAGAGGCACAGATTGGCAAAAGAAAAAGGAACAGAAAAAGAAGAGGAACAAAAGAACAAAACCAGAGAAATGAAGCTGACTTTAGAAACATTTCGCCTTGAACAGTTTTATAATGAGAATGTCAGCTGCCCCCTCAAGCTTGCTTCTTCGCTGCCATGCCATAAATGGGAGGGTGAATACTTGGGGGGAAACGAAAGTAACTGCTATATCTCCCTGAGATGCTGCTTCAAGGTCACAGCTGCATTTATAATCCATGCTTGAACTGACTGTTCTGAAAACATCTTGCCCGAATCTAACTGCTTACGATTGGCGATGGGAGGGAAAAGTTGAACTTAGGCATTCGGGCACGCAAATCTCCGTTCTGGCTGCGCTTGAGTGCAATCCATTTGACTTCTAATAAAACTATACCCTTACCAATGACTGGAACCCAGGATTGTTCTTTAAATTAGAGGCTGAAATAGTGCTGCAGAGAGTTATTTAATATGTTCCTGTTATGGTGGTCAACATAGTTCAAGAGGATGGATGGAAACTAATCAAGGAGAGAAGCAACCTAGAACTGAGGAGAAACTTCCTGACAGTTAGAACAATTAACAATGGACAGCCATTTGTCTGGAATGGTATGGACTGGACAGCCATTTGTCTGGAATGGTATAGGTTTCCTGCCTGAGCAGGGGGTTGGACTAGATGACCTCCGAGGTCCCTTCCAACTTTATTATTATTATTATTGTGATGGCAAGGAAAGAGAGTGCATTTGTAACAAAGAGAGGAAAGGCCCAGCCTATCCAGCCACAAATCTCCACAAATCCCTAGTGGCTTTCTTGGAATCCCATGGGATCCCAATCAGTGAGGCAAGAACTAGTGATCTGAAAGTTGATCTGATCGTTTCTTAGAAGGCTTTTTTTTCTGTTCAACCTCCCTTTTAGTCTGTTTTGCAAAAAGATCAGAGCCGACGGTATGATCCCCTTACCGCCAGAAATTTCATAAACGCCGGTCGGGCTTCCTTGGCGATCCTTATGGCATCTTTGGCGTTGAGGAAGTTATCAATGTAGGCAGAATAAATATTCACCAAGATGTCTTTGGAAAACTAAAGGAAAAAAAAAGAGCAAAAGAATTAACAAACGTGCAAACGAGGCATGTTTGATCCAGAAAGGATCGAGAGTTAATTGCTGGGGTGATTCAGGAGAAGAAGCCATGATAAATTTTCTACGAGTTAAATACTAGTTTAAATAGATTGTTAAGAGAGGGTTTTGAAATGTTAATTTTGCTGGTGTTCTACCTGTTAACCATTATGACATTAATACAGCAGCTAGATGGCTTAACTTGCAAATAGAGTTAATGTCAGAGCATGCAGAGTCTTCTTGTGCGAGATAAACCAGGAGTAAATACAGTAAACAGTGGTCTATAGTAAATGGTGGTTTATCTTATACTAGCTACAATATCGTACACCAGGAATAATATACATACACGTGCTAATACAGCAGGATCCAACATACCGCAGTTACAGCAGGAAACGGAAGAGCGAGAACATATCAGGGGAGCCATCCCTTTTATACAACGGCTCTTAAAGAGACTCAGACCCTGCTGAGTCATTCCCATCATTACATCTTAAATCTTCCATCACAAAAGCTGGTTAGCTGTTAAATCAATACCTTGACAGTTAGAAGTTTAAAAATTTTAAACTTCTTAGCAAGGGGTGGGAAAATAATATTGTTGTAATATACAGTAGTGGCCAAAATTGTGGAAACCTTTTGGGAAAAGTGCACAGTAGAAATGCCACCTTTGGTTAAGTTTCCACCCAATTTTCTTCTAATTTCTTTATAAAAGTAGCCTTGTTCACCTAATAATATTATTTTACATCGCTTTCTGGGCAACCAGTCCAACCCCTTGCTCAGGTAGGAAACCCAAAATTGTGGAAGCCTTTTGGGAAAAGTGTGTTTTTGAGGTTTGATGGCTAATAACACCACTTTTTTTGTAGTAGTAGTACCATACAATTATATATCAATGGAACGATCATTTAATCAAGAATGTAATGCAACAAAGTTTGTTCAATTATCTGTACTGTATTCTAGGAAAAGTTATAGCCAAATAACCAGAAAAAGGAAGCACAACTTGCTCAGGTTGACATCAGGTAGCTTTCCTTCATCCGATTGTAGCCAATGAGCGTGAGCGTTTAGAGAGCCAATCAGATGTCATCTTGTTTTGGCAATGAGCCAATCAGATCACGGTAGGATCCAGTTATTGATGTCATGTATTGAAGCTGAGAGGAGGACATTTGTCAGTGTGTTATGTGATCGCTATCAAGTTGGCTGGGGTTTTTTGTGTTCTTTCATTTAGTGAGCTTGTAAAACGTAATAAAATTAAAGTCACGGTGCAAAGAGTTGACTGGTCGCCCAGAAAGTGATATAAAATAGTATTATTAAGTGAACGAGGCTCCAGTTATAAAGAAATTAGAAGAAAAATCTCTATATCTATCTATCTATCTATCTATCTATCTATCTATCTATCTATCTATCTATCTATCTATCTATCTATCTCTTCTTTCCTTCTATCCATCCATCCATCCATCCATCCATCATCTTCTATGCCTGCCTGCCTATCATCTCTATCTATCCATCCATCATCTTCTATTCCTGCCTGCCTATCTATGTATCTATGTATCTATGTATCTATGTATCTATGTATCTCTCTCTCTCTCTCTCTCTCTCTCTCTCTCTCTCTCTCTCTCACACACACACACACACACACACACACACACATCTGGAAACTTAACCAAAGGTGGCATTTCTACTGTACACTTTTCCCAAAAGGTTTCCACAATTTTGGCCACTCCTGCATACAGAAGAACAAGCAAGAAAATAGCCACTGGGTCTCAGGAAGATTAGGAAGGTTGGAATATGGTTGTTTTGTCCATGCCCGGAACAAGCCAACATTTATAAAGAGGGAGAAACAGCCCCCATCCCCCCCCCTTCTCTCCTCTCCTCCGGAAGTTGGAAGTAGTGACTTGGAAGCGATACTCACAGACTCCACCAGGATGTCTCCCACTTTCTGCTTCTCGTGCCAGTTCTGAACGCATTCGGAGATCTGCTCCAGGAACTCCTCGTGATGTTCCAGCAATTCGGGAATCTGGTCGAAGATCTCGTCCACCAGCGAGGGGTCACAGAGGATGGAATTTTCCGGCAGTTTAAGGGGCTTCATGTAACCCTGGAAGAAGAGAAGAGGGAAACCAAAATAACCGCTTTTAGAAACACAGGAAGTCGGTCTCCCTGATGGAGGGCAGATGTCCTGGAATAGACACACCAGGACCCTTTTTTTTATAACTTGCTAAGTCAGAGGGGTTTAATTTAAAATATCCAGAACTGGGAACTCTACACACACATGCATTAACAGAGGGAGAGAATCAAGATCATGTGAAGTGTTAATACCACTTTACAAGGCCTTGGTAAGGCCACACTTGGAATACTGCATCCAGTTTTGGTCACCGCGATGTAAAAAAGATGTTGAGACTCTGAAAAGAGTGCAGAGAAGAGCAACAAAGATGATCAGGGGACTGGAGGCTAAAACATACAAGGAATGGCTGCTGGAATTGGGTATGTCCAGTTTAACGAAGAGAAGGACGAGGGGGGACATGATAGCAGTCTTCCAGTATCTCAGGGGCTGCCCCAAAGAAGAGGCAGTCAAGCTATTCTCCAAAGCGCCTGAAGGCAGGACAAGGAGCAACGGATGGAAACTCAACAAGGAGAGAAGCAACCTAGAACTAAGGAGAAACTTCCTGACAGTGAGAACAATTAACCAGTGGAACAACCTGCCTCCAGAAGCGGTGAATGCTCCAACACTGGAAGTTTTTAAGAAGAAACTGGACAGCCATTTATCTGAAATGGTATAGGATTTCCTGCCTGAGCAGGGGGTTGGACTAGATGACCTCCAAAGTCCCTTGCAACTTTATTATTATTACTACTACTACTACTACTACTACTACTACTACTACTACTACTACTACTAAGCCATGCTCAAGAACCCTCGTAATCTCTGTGTGTCACAGAACCACCATCTCAAACTTTTTTTTTTTAACCCTCTTTTGGCCGCTGTTGCCGCTAGGATCAAAGCTACAAGGATGCAAATTCATGCTGGGTTTAACCGTCTTGCTTAGCAACGGATCCGGTCCCAACTGTGGTCGTATAATTGAGGACTACCTGTAACTCTGTAGAAATGGTCAGGAAGACTGCAGGGGCACCCGCTCTGTACACGTATGATGCTATGTGGATGTGTGTAATGCCACGTGCAGGCAGTCCTCTCCCATCCATTCAGGGAGTGTTGGAAGTTACAATATCACTGGAAAAAGTGACTTATGACCAGTTCTCATACATACGACCCTAGCTTGAACACTGGGCGCTATCTAACAAAATGAAATTCAATTTAGGCAAGAAAAACCAAATGTACAGGTATAGTGATTAATGAAAAAAAACAACCACTAGGGGTGACATGATAGCAGTGCCCCAATATTTGAGGGGCTGCTACAGAGAAGAAGGGGTCCACTTATTCTCCAAAGTGGGACAAGAAGCGACGGATAGAAACTGACCAAGGAGAGAAGCAACCTGGAATTAAGTAGAAACTTCCCGACAGTGAGGACAATTAACCAGTGGAACAGCCGGCCACCAGAAGTTGTGGATGCTCCATCACTGGAGGTTTTCAAGAAGAGACTGAACAGGGGGCTAAACAGGGGGTTGGACTAGATGACCTCCAAGGTCCCTTCCAACTCTGCTATTCTGTGATTCTGTAAAGCTCTCCTCCTTGAGCAGGCGGTTGGACTAGATGACCTCCAAGGTCTCTTCCAACTCTGCTATTCTGTGATTCTGTAAGGGTCTCCTGCTTGAGCAGGGGGTTGGACTAGATGACCTCCAAGGTTCCTTCCAACTCTGCTATTCTATGATTCTGTAAGGGTCTCCTGCTTGAGCAGGGGGTTGGACTAGATGACCTCCAAGGTCCCTTCCAACTCTGCTATTCTATGATTCTGTAAGGGTCTCCTGCTTGAGCAGGGGGTTGGACTAGAAGACCTCCAAGGTCCCTTCCAACATTATTATTATTATTATTATTATTATTATTATTATTATTATTATTATTATTATTATTATTATTATTATTATTATTATTATTATTAAGAAGTTGGGGATGCTCCAGCACTGGAGATTTTTGAAGAAGAGACAGGACAGTCATTGGTCTGAAATGGCATAGTAGGGTCTCCTGCTTGAGCAGGGGGTTGGATTAGATGACCTCCAAGGTCCCTTCCAACTCTGCTATTCTATGATTCTGTAAGGGTCTCCTGCTTGAGCGGGGGGGGGGTTGGACTAGATGACCTCCAAGGTCCCTTCCAGCTGCATTCCATTCTGTTTCCTGCCACAAGTATGATTTACCTGCATCAAGGTACGGAGAGACTCCACGTACGACTGCTCCGTGTCCAACAGGGTCATAGTGACATGTTTCCGCATATCCTGCAACAGAAAGCAAGAGGGCCATTAAAAGATCATCTATCTTGCCCTGGGCCACGTCCTTTCTCTGGGTACAAAACAATCCCCCGCAGTTTGTGCTGGGACCGACGCTGCAGGGGTAGCAATGAGCATCCCACCTTTTCGTCCGGGTCTCACCCGCTTCTCAACTCGATCTGCTGTCCCAAACGCCTCCAGCCCGAAACAGGCACGGTTATATTTATAGATAAATATAAATAAAGACGAGATTGGAAGGTTGACGTCTGCAAGCCTTTGGACCCTGCCAGGAAAAGAATCCTTGTGCTTCCCTAAGGATCAAGCTGGGATCAGGACCGCTGCCGAAGACAGAGTCGCCCAATTTCATTTGATTTATTTAGCCGGTTTACACACCTACGCCTCGAATTACGACCACAATCGGGCCCGAAATCTCCGTCGCTAAGCGAGACAATTGTTAAGTGAGTTCCCCCCCATTTCTTGCTACAGTCGCTAAGCGAATCACTGCAGCTGATCAGTTAGTAACCTGGTTCTTGAGTCAATCTGACTTCCCCCGTCGACTTTGCTTGTCAGACAGTCACACAAAAGATGTTTGTGTGATCCCGGCGACCGTCGTAAATAGGAGCTAATTGCCAAGGGTCCGAATTTTGACCACGTGACCATGGGGGGGGGAATGCTGCCACGGTGGTTAAGTGCGCAAAGAGTCAAAATTCACTTTTTTCAGTGCCGTTGTGACTTCGAACGGTCACTAAACAAACGGTCGTTAAGTCGAGGACTACCTATATGCTGCCCATTTCGCTATCAGGAGTAACATGCGACAAAGGAAGGTGTCCGTTCTCTTCGGCCACCACTTTTCTTCTTTGGTCTCAAGACCACCACAAGTGTCCAAGCGACAGTTGCTCTTCCCATTACGGACTACAAAGCCCAGTGTATGGGCACTGTGGTCCACAGACACCTGCTCTGGTAGCTCACCGGGATCCTGGCCCCTCCTGACTTTTTGAAAAGATCGTTTTCAATAGAAGCACTTAAATTGGAACCTGGCCCGATGCAAAGCAGAGCCCATACCCCAGGCCTTGTCGTTATTTGCTATTTATATTCCATAAAGATCCCCTTGGCGCGGGAGTGAACCTTTGTGGATTAATTTATTAAATGTATTTCTATACCACCAGAATCTAAAGACTCTCACCAGCTTACCATGGAGCATAGAACAGACAGACAGACGGACGGACGGACGGACGGAGAGAAATGATAGATAGATTCTATCTATCTATCTATCTATCTATCTATCTATCTATCTATCTACCTACCTACCTACCTACCTACCTACCTACCTACCTACCTACCTACCTACCTACCTACCTACCTACCTACCTACCTACTATCTATCTATCTATCTATCTATCTATCTATCTATCTATCTATCTATCTATCTATCTATCTATCTATGATAGATAGATGAAGATGGATGGAGATAGATAGACAGATAGACAGATAGACAGATAGATAGATGGATGGATGGATGGATGGATGGATAGATGAAGATGGATGGATGGATGAAGATAGATAGATAGATGGATGGATGGAGATAGGTAGGTAGGTAGGTAGATAGATAGATAGATAGATAGATGAAGATGGATGGATAGATGGAGGTAGATAGATGAATAGATAGATGAAGATAGATAGATAGATAGATAGATAGATAGATAGATAGATAGATAGATAGATAGATAGATAGATAGATAGATAGATAGATAGATAGATAGATAGATAGACAGATAGATAAATAGATGGACGGATGAAGATGGATGGATAGATGGAGATAGATAGATGTATAGATAGATGAAGACAGATAGATAGATAGAGATGGATGGAGATAGATGGATAGATAGATGAAGATAGATAGATGAAGATAGATAGATAGATAGATAGATAGATAGATAGATAGATAGATAGATAGATAGATAGATAGATAGATAGATAGATAGATAGATAGATAGATAGATAGATAGACGGATGAAGATGGATGGATAGATGGAGATAGATGTATAGATAAAGACAGATAGATAGATAGAGATGGATGGAGATAGATGGATAGATAGATGAAGATAGATAGATGAAGATAGATAGATAGATAGATAGATAGATAGATAGATAGATAGATAGATAGATAGATAGATAGATAGATAGATAGATAGATATAGATATAAAGGTAGATGATAGATGATAGAGATAGATGGATGGATAGATGGATGGATAGATAACCAGGGACCAAAGAGAGAGCCAGGGAGTAGGAAGTGTTTGGGAAGATGAAGGAGGGACTGGGGTCATATGGTTGACCCCTCCCCTCTATTCTTGGGGGGGGGGGGAAGGACATAGCCCAGGAAGAGAGAAAGCAAAGAACTGTGGCTGGAGATGGTTATATCACAGGAAGAGTTTGCATGCAACAATCACGGGACACGTTTGACCTGGATTAAAAAAAAAATCAAAAAAAAATCAAGAGGATTCTGCTAGTAATATTCGCAATAAACATCGTTTAGTAAAGCCACGGCTTATAACATCTTATTGATGCTGGCTGGGGAATTCTGGGAGTGGAAGTCCACAGATCTTCAAGGCTGCAAGACACTGCCGTGGATTAACTGAAGAAGAAGAGACCTATGACTAGGTTTCACACTTACGACCGTTCCAGCCTCCCTATGGCCACCGGATCAAAATTTGGGTGCTTGGCGACCGACTGGTATTTATGAGAGTTACAATGTCTTGGAGTTATGCAATGACCATTTGCGACCGTCTCTGAGCCCGTCTCCAGCCCCCGAGGCCCTTCCTGATCCAGAGCCCCTGACTTTTGCTCAATCAGGGGGTTGGGCTAGAAGACCTCCAGGGTCCCTTCCAAGTCTGTTTATTCTGACTCATCTTCAAAATTCAGGCTTTCGTGAAGTTTTAACCCCCCGGCACAATATATCAGCAGCTTGTCTGCCTCTTCTTTGGTTTCCCTAGCAATGGCATTTGGTCTCTACTTAAAAGCGGTGAGTGACGGAAGGAGAGGGCGCGTGCCTTATGGGCTTCGGTGGCCAAATGTTCAAGATCTGCCTTTGTGTAACAGGAATGCCGTGTTCTCTTGCTGGTGGGAGAGAGAAAGAAATCGCCCTGTGACTGAAGAGGAATTAGAATAACAAGAGTTGGAAGGGACCTTGGAGGTCTTCTAGTCCAGCCCCCTGCTCAAGCAGGAGACCCTAGACCATTCCAGACAAACAGTGGTCCAATCTCTTCTTAAAAGCCTCCAGCCTACCTCTTCCTTCCTTCCTTCCTTCCTTCCTTTCTTCCTTCCGTCCGTCTTATTGTCTCAACCTTCCCTGGGACCTCCAGTAGATCAGGTTGGGGGATCAGTGCGTCCTTCAGGAGATGGTAAGTTCCGTTTACCACCAGGTTAGAGAAGAATTTTCGGAGGTCGCTTGGAGAAGGAAGGAAGGAAGGAAGGAAGGAAGGAAGGAAAGCAGGCAGAATAAGAGTTGGAAGGGACCCTGGAGGTCATCTAGTCCAACCCCCTGCTCAGGCAGGAAACCCTATACCAGGGGTAGGCAACCTTGGCTCTTTTATGACTCATGGACTTCAACTCCCAGAATTCCTGAGTCAGCTATGCTGACTCAGGAATTCTGGGAGTTGAAATCCATGAGTCGTAAAAGAGCCAAGGTTGCCTACCCCTGCCCTATACCATTTCAGACAAATGGCTGTCCAGTCTCTTCTTAAACACTTCCAGTGTTGGAGCATTCACTACTTCTGGAGGCAGGCAGTTCCACTGGTTAATTCTTCTCAATGTCAGGAAGTTTCTCCTTACTTCTAGGTTGCTTCTCTCCTTGGTTAGTTTCCATCCGTTGCTTCTTCTCTTGCCTTCAGGGGCTTTGGAGAATAGCTTGACTCCCTGTTCTTTGGGGCAGCCCCTGAGAGATTGGAAGGCTGCTATCATGTCCCCCCTCGTCCTTCTCTTCTTTAAAATAGACACACCCAATTCCAGCAACCATTCCTTATATGCTTTAGCCTCCAGTCCCCTAATCATCTTTGTTGCTCTTCTCTGTCCTCTTTCTAGAGTCTCAGCATCTTTTTTACATTGTGGGGACCAAAACTGGATGCAGGATTCCAAGTGTGGCCTTACGAAGGCCTTGTAAAGTGGTATTATATATCGCACCAGGGCCTCAGCATAAATAGAACCCCCTTCTCCTCCTCCTTCTCCTTTCCCCCTTCACAACAACCTTGCGAAGTAGGCTGAGGGATGGTGACTGAAACCCGTTCTGCAAGGCACGTGAGGTCAGGACAGGAAGCAGCGGATGGAAACTCATCAAGGAGAGAAGCAACCTGGAACTAAGGAGGGATTTTCCAACAGCGAGAACTATTAGCCAGTGGAACAACCTGCCTCCAGAAGTTGTTGGTGCTCCATAACTGGAGGTTTTTAAGAAGAGATTGGACAACCGTTTGTCTAGAATGGCATAGGAGCTCCTGCTTAAGCAGCGGGGGTGGACTAGAGGACCTCCAGGGCCCCTTCCAGCTCTGTTTTATTGTTATTCTGCTCCAAGTCACCCAGTAAGCCTCGATGGCTGAGTGCCAGGGGTCTCCCCACTTCTCTCCAGTATCTTAACCTCCCCCCTTCCCCACCCCAGCTCCAAACAGGCAGTCATTCGGATTCTAGAATTTGATTCGCAGCCTGAAGATTAAAGCATTAAAGGTTGCGCCACTCGCTCTGTCTGAGCATCCTGGCAAAAAAACCGAGTCCTTTTCTATTTTAGGAAAAACTTGATCCCACTTAATATTCTGCTTTTCCCAAAGGGCACAGGAGAAGAACCAAAAAGGGAAGGGGGCAATGCTGACTGAACGCCACGCACCCCAACCGGTCTCTTTCCGGGGGACCCCTCATCTTCTTATATGGAGAGAGAAAAGCCTTGAAATTGGGTGGGGGTCTCTGGAGGGGGACTTTCCCTGACCTAGTCCAGGAGTAGAGATGCCGATCCCAAAACATGGGAGAC